TTATGAGCCGTCTGGTTACCATAGTGCTTAAACTTAAACTGCCTCGGTGGTGTAGTGGTAGCGTGTACGACTGCTGTGCTGAGGTCTCGGGTTCGAGTCCCGGGTCGGACCAAATTTTTGTATGATCTGCAAATATTTGTTTCGGGGTTTGGGTGTTTTCTATGTTTAATATGTATGTATTTACAAATAAAAAAAGTATGTAAGTATTCTATCAACCAATCTAGCATTCATAATACAAGCTCTGCTTAGTTTGAAACTAGATGGCGTTGTGTGTCAGATGTCTGAAATATAGTACAGGAATAGTTCGTCGTCATCCGACCGTCGTATGTGCATATCAAGTTATTATATCTATACAAATAAATAAAATTAAGGTGTGTAATGTCAAACTAATGTTTTTTTTCATGCTCACAAGGTCAATTGCACGATATCTATGCCTAAAAACCAGTTTAAATACTTTTTGTCTATCTGTCTGTCTGTGTGTTTCGGGTAATCTTCAAAACAGCTTGACCAATTTAGATAATATTTTACTACCAGGTAGCTGTCTATATGAGGAGTAACTTAGGCTATTTTTTCCATCAGAAAACCCCTATAAAAAAATACCCGGTCCGGGAATCGAATCCACTGAGGCAGCGCTTTTCGGTTTCCACACGGACGAAGTCACGGGCACGCACTAGTATCATTATATAATAGCTTTTGACTGCGGCTCCGCCTGCATGTATGTCAGCCATCGCGGTAAAAAGACGGTTAAGGCGTGAAAGCGTAACAAACGAACTCACTTTCATATTTGTACTATCGACACAGAAACGCTGCTTCTTCTTAAAACTCATGACTTCTTACAAAAATTTGGTTACAAATGTAATTCTTCTGATTGGGAAAACATTGAAACTTTTAAACTGTTGCTAAGCTAGGGTAAGGGATACTACAAGATAGGAGAGAGGAACTAAAGTAACCAGAATCACGCCATATGTCGGTTCAGTGATGTGAGAAACCAATTAAAACAGGGGCATGAACTGGACGTATCAGCAGAAACATATGCCGTGAACCTTCTAACAGTCAATGATAAACTGAAATCTGCTATGAATGAAAACATTCTTTTACACTGTCTGAAAATAAATACACCAGTGAGTATAGAAGTTAAGAATAATTTAAATAATTTCTCTGATACTGTAGTAGTGGCGTAGTGTAGCTACAATAGTATGGGCTGTAGCGACACATTTTCTAAATCGACTGAAACTTCCAAGGGATGATAGCTGGCATTAGCATGAAAATAGCCCACATATGATATCACAGGTTATAAATCCCTCATATTTTTTCCAGTAGTACCCGAAAGAGGAGTAAATTTACGCATCAGTAAATTTTCCATAAGACATGTACAGGATACGTACCAACTGGTAGAATATAGACGAATGCGTCGATTTACATTCAACGAATCGTATTATGATTTTACTGCTATTATTTTTTGAGTTAGCTAGGTTTCATGGTACCCTTTTTATTTCAATTTCTTTTTAATAATATTGTGGTTCGGCAGTTCCGTTTACTGCAATAAAAGTTATCTCATTTGAACATTAACAAGCCATCCAGCCAAGCCATGATCATATTATTTATGCATAGATAATATGATCAATAGAGACCGGATAATATGCAACATAAAAAGTTTGTTATATGCATGCGAATATGCACGAAAATTGGCAGAATATGCGAAATTAAATGATAAATTCTAGGAACCCGGAAAAGAAGAGAAAAGTAAAAAGTGACGAATTCGCGATATTATCGTTTTATCTCATTTCGGAATACAGGGTGAATGCACTGCACTCGGAAAATTGAAAATGTACCGATAATATTCATCATAACTTTATCTTAGGTAAAATATGCTATTACCGTTGAGAATGGCTTAAATAAGCAAAATCATATGCAAATATGCAAATTCATATAATCCGGTCTCTAATAATCAATGAATAAATGAAAATCCAATATATTGTGGTCATAAAAACAGACTCAGAACAACAATTTGTGGATCACAAAAAGTGTCGTCCCATGTGAGGATTGGACCCACAACACTCAGCGTAGTAGTGAACGGCGTACGCCATCCGTGCAGTCAAACTTGTTGTACCTGCCTTTAGGCGCCCAAAGTTACACAGGTCATTTTGAGGTGTATGTGTCAGATTTTATACAATAACACAAAAAGTAAATATATCATAAAGCCTATTGCTTAATAGTGGAGTAACAAGTCACACAGGCTATTAAGGGGAAATGTAGTGTAGGCTAGTGTGTTTTTATTTATTCTTTATAATTTTTTAAGTTTTTCTTCACTTTCATTTATATTCTATCTTTTTTCTTTATCTTATTTTCTCTTCATTGCCTTTTTATCTTTTAGTATTTAATAACGGACATACTGGCACACATCAAAACAATGTTGTGGTATACTGAATGATTCCATGAATGAATGATTTTTGTTTGCCCTTTCTTGTCATAAGGCTCAACCCCTTAGAAAAGGGCGGTTGTAGATCAGCAGAGGGATATAATAGATTTTCGGTGGGTATTATTTTATTATATTTATTTTGCTAAATATTTGACAAAACAGAGATTGGGTTCTATTGTGTTGTGTTTATGATATTTCAGAGTCTACCTAAAAGACAACTCCAAACAATAATATTTATACATATATTGAGTTTAAGTTAATACATTTTTTTTTTTACCAAAAGTGCCTGATTTTGAAAGTTTCCGTTGTAAGCAGATTACGAAATTATTTAACCGCAAACATTTAAAATATTTTAACAGAGACTCAACACATTTTCTCTTCCGCTAAACTGAACCAGTATATTAACCAAATTCCACACCATAAAATACATTGTTTCAACAGCGCAACAGGTAAAAATAATTGCTGAGAACTTTCTCTGGCCGACGACAAGAATAATGGTTGTTAGAGGCATTTCGTCTGATATTCGAGATTTTTCTTCACTTTGCTCTGAGATTCGCATATTTTCCCCAACAAGAGTTTTTACATTAGATGTAATCTGTTCTGTGAAACGAAGTTTAAACCTCGCACACCAGTTAGGGATGATGCGAGTTTGATGCGACGTTTTTGAATATGTAACATTTCAAATAGTGGTCGATGAGAAAAGAATGTATAATATACATATAAATACAGTTTATGACATAGATGATGACACTTCTACGCTAATTAAAGATAATAATAAAACTCAATAAAACTCTGTTCTTTAGTTTGTCTTCAAAATATTTTTCTTATTGAAACTGTCTCTAATAAATTGGGATTCTTGGAAAGCGGCAGCAAAATTGTTGAGCTTCCTCAGATGATATTATATATATCCCCCACACATAATTATAATATATTTATGATTGCAAAATAATATACAACCATTTTCTAGCTTATGCAAAGAGATGAGGAAGATAACAAAGACAATACAAAAACATCAGTGAAACCAACTAAATTATTATTATATTGAAGGAAGGAAAAAAATACATGTAAAGAGATTTTGTTTTATAAATCTGATGGAAATTTATAGAATAGTCTATAAATGTTAAATAAAGTCAAATGATTTACAAAAACTCAGTTCTACACATATAAACAAGCATTCGCCTTTGTTGCCGATCAATATTTCATTAATAATTTTATGTCCATTTTCGTATCCAAACTTGGCAAGCAACAAGCATTTACGATTTTATGTCATCCATAATGTATATAGCGTCATAAAGTATAGCGAACTCATTTTAGTACACATCGTACTTTAAAAACATGCATTTACATGGCATGAACAGTCTTTTTTGACAGTTCTCAGAAGACAAATCTTCTACTTCGTATACAAGTTACCAAGAATTGTGTGTAAGAGGGAATTCATTGCACTGACTTACGTGACACGAGATATTTGCTTAAAAGCTTCTTAAGAATGTTCATCGTGGGCTTTAATACTTAATTTTATACATGAAGTACGGCCTCGGCTTTGTTAATTTTAACTTTAGTATTAGCCGATTGTTCTGTAAATATAGTTTAAAAGTATAATGAACAGGTTTTTTTAAACTATGGATTTGGTTTTGTTTCCTTTATTCTTTTACTATAGTTAATAGGTTTATGGGTTAAGTGTGAAAACGGTTTCCACATCATTGAATAATTGGGTGGTTTTCTTTTGTCGTTTTACAATTTAACGTTTTCCATGTTAATTGTTTTTCTAAATAATAGTGTGGTGGTCCGTGTGGTGACGGATTAAGAATACAGAGTGTCACCACCCTTATTCATCCCGTGGGTGTCGTAAGAGCCGACTAAGGGAAAAAACTACTCAGAACAACAGCACTGCGGAGAGAAGGAAAACTTGACACAAACCCTATACCAACTCGTCTGGCCAGCGTGGTATAGTAGGCCAAAACCTCCTTTCTAAGGAGAGGCTTATGTCCAGCAGTGCACTGTTGAAGGCTGTTGATGAAATAATAATACATTAATTTGAAGTCCAGATTTATATAATTTGTTTAACAATGATTTATTTAATTATATTTTTGGAATCTTATCTTACGTTACACGCTGAGCACATGGGAGCGAGACCGGAAAATGTGTACCAAGACTTTTTGCCGAGACTTTTTGCTATGGTACGCTTGGATTTTTAAGCAACGGATTCAAGATGAAGGTTTATATCTATAAAATATGCATATTATAGTAGAGAAATTCCGAGAATTTCAAAGATTTGTCGTAAAAAAATGTTTTTCGTTTTTCTGCTCTTACATTGTAAACGCTGTCTAAACCCTACAGGATAGACCAAAGTAAAGTACTACAGAATTGTATATCTTAAAAAGGTCTACAAAAATAAAGATATATGTCCAATGGTAAGCGGTTACCGGAGCCTATAAAAACTTACCTTACCAATATTGTCACTCACCAGTGACCAAATTTAAACAAACTCTATGTTACCATACATTCTATCAGATGGGTGTTACAGTTGTGTTGTCACATTTTACCATAATTGTAAATATATAAAGGTATATAAAAAACTTACGTCAACATTAATCCCAGCGAAGGGAAATATTTTCGTAGTAGGGCTCTCTGTTGGCGAGTATCGGTAGAACTCGTGGCGCCCTCTGTACCACTTCACAGAGTACAATGGCGCGTCTGTAAGCTCGTAAAGGCAGGCTAGGGTAGTATCATTCCCTCGCTGTACCACTGGTGGGGATATACGTAGATCTGTCGCTCGGAGACCACCAACTCCTGGGAATAATGATATTAACTTAAGAACATGCTGAATTCTTATTTAAGTCAAACAAACAAGTAGACGGTCACTTGATGACACCTGCAACTCAAGAGACATCATCATTATCAACAGCCTCCTTAGTTAGTCCTCCTTAGAAAGTAGGTTTCGGCCTACTATACAACGCTGGCCAGACGGATTGGCATAGGGTTTGTGTCAAGTTTTCCTTCTCTTTGCAGTAGTTAACCAAGGGATGAATAGGGGTGGTAACACTCCGTATTCTTAATCCGTCACCACACGGACACACAAAGGGACACAAGGGCGAAATGGAGGGGGAAGGGGGGGGGGGGTTACAGTATCTTTACTCACTCGGGGAAAAGGAAAGAAGGTGCTTAACATCAGTTGAATATTTAGATTGTCCGTGTGATGACGGTGACAGAAGTGCATTGCCGCCCTTGGAGTCCTAGTTCTAGAACCACGTGGCCTTTCCACGTGATGGTGATCATGGTGAAGGTGTTTGGTCTCTAGTGAAGACCACTAACTCGGTGAAGAGCAACGAAAAAGTTACTTAACACCGGTTTTTTGTGAGACCTTGGTGAGTTTTCTTACTTCTTATTATTTCAGAGACTGGGAACAGTATTGTAATTGCTGCTATCGTTACATAAATGGATTGATGTTTAATGACATTGGAGCAAGGTAGAAGTACCTGGGTACTACTCACCTTCAGAATTTGGTCAACCGTCAGCTTTCAGCTTAATGTGTAATATTGCAAAAAATATGGATGTTTTTTTTTTAAGAAAAGAAAATTCGACAGTAACGGAGATACTACTCCTACCTATTCAACTGACGTCAATTTGCCTTTATTAAAAGGTCAATCATGAATATATCGTCATTTTATTTTCAATAAACCTTTATTCCCAATTAATCATTCGTTAATATACGGAAAGTTGTAAATGCGCACCACACGCTACATATTACCATATAGTACAGTCCATCTAAAGGTTGCCTGGAAGAGATCGCAGGCTGCGAAAAAAGCGCCCATAGTGTCACTCTTTTTTTTTTCTATGTATCATCGCATGTATCCTAATTATGGTGTGCAATAAAGAGTACCTATCTATCTATCTTCTTTTCTTTCTTTCTTTTAAAAAGGCAACTCCCGCATTGGCAATATATCCTGTGTCGCGGGGGACTTTTCAAACATACATGAAACGGACACAAAGAAGACCTAGACTCAGAACAAAAATTTGTGGATCACACAAAGTGTCGTCCCATGTGGGGATCGGACCCACAAACCTCAGTGTAGTAGTAAGCGGCGTGGCGACCGCTTAAACCACTACGCAAATAGGCAACGCACTAGGCAAATTTGTAATTACATTAATTACAAATGTCAATTTGGTGAATTATACTTAAAAGTGATGATATAATAAACAATCGTGTAACATTAAGACTTCTTGTAAATTTATGTTGACTTTACTGAAAGTCGTTAAGCTTGAGTAAGTAAACCAAAAATTACGCAAACAATGCTTATTCTAACTTTGTTCAACGCACAATATTAGGGTAATAAAGAAAAACAAAATGTTTCAGCTATTTATCTTGCAAAGTTTTAACACCAAAGACTTATAGACTGGTAAAGTAAATTATTACTGTGAAAGAACGGGTGTCTTGTCCCTCGTAAACAAAGGGCAAATCCTCCAACCAGGCCAGGTGATCACGCCTGGTAGACCTGGGCCTGACGGTTGATGATAGGTAACATGGTAATGACATTTCATATCGCGATACAGGACTAGTAATAATAATTATTATTATTATAACCACCGATATCTTGGTCCCTGTACCCGATACTGATGGGACACTATTTTTTATATTTTTAAATGTATTTTTTTCTTAAATATGTTTAAAAATGTAATTTATATGTATATTTAATGAAATAAAGAGAAGATGAACACTAAGTTAAGTTATTCAGGCAGTATAGGATTAATCAAATAAATGAAATGTCTCTTTTATATAGACATAGTCTCTCTAATGCCGATCAGGTATTTTTATGAAAGATAGGGCAAACGAGAAGGCTGGTCACCTGGTGGAAAGTGACTACCGCCTGTAAATGCCTGCAGCTCTGGAGTTGTAAGCGCGTCTAAAAACCTGGTCAAGCAAATACTTCAGTAAGAATTTTTGACTTAGAATCAATAACCATTTCCAAATACCTATAATCCATCAAAAAGGATTTCTGGATGTGAATGAAAACATAACCGAATTTCTGATATATAATAAAAAGAGCCTGCCTTTGCAGAATATATTTCATACTATATTGTTTTATTTGAAACAAAAGTCTCTAAACGGTTACAGGTCATCCAATTCAAACACATATCAAATATCAACAATTCTGTTTCAACGTTTACGTGTCTTTGCAAATAAAAAAAGAGATACAACGAAACTCGTATTATTAAAACTCTTTGACCGTAACAGACAATGGGCAACAAAGGTGGAATCATAAAAATGTGATGTGGAACACAAAGGGGACCGTAGGTTGGTAGTAAAATGGGAGGCAACGGCACCTGCGACCTCAACCCGTGGAAACGAAATAGCGAAAATTTAGGAAATTGAATTCCACGAAAGGACGACGGTAGAATTATTTTATTATACCACAAGAACTTTGCAATTATAATTCCTTGTAGAAGGGTTTAGATTATAACATTCCATATTGATATAACACGGATGAATTGAAAAGATACTTAAAGTGAACAGACATACATTTTTAGTATCTTTTCAATTTATCCGTGTTATGTAAAATTCATTAATAAAATCATTCTTTCCCTTTGTGACATAACTCAAAGAAAGTATAAACAGCTTTAGTATTAAAAAGTCAAAAACTGTAATTGGGTGCCTAAACGGTTTTTCACAGATCAATGCTTAGTAATTATATTTAAGAAAAATATTGCAATAACGGTAACAAGTTCCTTAAACAAGAAAGACACGATGTTTACTCTTCTTTGAAATTTATAAAATTCTTCTTTACATACAAGAGTATCTCAACTTAACAAAGTCTAACGACCGCAAAGTAAACATGCCTTTTATTTAAAATATGCAGCGGTTGTGTAAGCGGGCAGTGTAAAATTTGGAAGATAGGGTACCAAGTCTTACCCAGGACACTACCGACTTGTCGTCCACAGCCTTTACTAGTCCACTGCTGGTCAAAGGTCTCTACATAGAAAGGAGGTTTTAGTGACTATACCACGCTGGCCAGACGGGTTAGTATAGGGTTTGTTTCAAGTTTCCTTCGCTTTGCAGTGCTGTTATCCTGCGTACTTTGCTCCCTTAGTAGGCTCTGTGATGACCAAAGGTGGTGACACTATGTATTCTTAATCCACCACCACCACACGGGTACGGACGATTTGTACGTGTAAAGTATTGCCAAGTCTCCTTACCATTGTCAATCTACTTATATTGATTATAAATGTGAAAGTTTATTTGTTTGTTTGTTACGCTTTGAGAATTCTTTCAGTTCAACATAGTGAAAGTGTAGTTCAAATTAATAAAACCGAGGCTAAGAAGTCTTTGTGTATACATGTGATGGCGTAGTGGTTTAAGCGGTCGCCACACCACTCACTACTGCGCTGAGTGTTGTGGGTCCGATCCCAACACGGGACAACACTTTGTGTGATCCACAAATTGTTGTTCTGAGTCTGGGTGTTCTTTGTGTCAGTTTCATGTATGTTTGTAAAGAACCCCGCAACACAGGATATATGTATTCCTAATGCGGGAGTTGTTTTTTTTAAAGAGAAAAAAAAACATCTCTAAAAAATTCAAAAAAATATATTTGCTACTTTTAGGTAGTCAGAAAGAAAATTATAAAAAAAACAAAAGTGCTAAGATGAGTTCAATAAGTAATGTTCAAACCAATTTCATTAAAATTTCAATTTCTTATAAATCGCTTTCTTCCTTAAGTTTATAGGCAAAACTTTGTTGCAATTTCCTAGGATTCTCGTTTATGGCACATCTCATAATTAAAATGACTGCTTTATGGGCAAGTTCATTCGTCATAAAATACAGCAGTTCACAATTTTAAGTTATTAACCGTAATTACCGCAAAGTAATCTAACAAAAAGTAAGATTCTGGTTTTATGGACATGTTGCAGTCAAATTCGACACGTAGACTCTTCGGGATCTGACTAGATTATTTAAGAAACTCATAGAGGTATTTTATACGACTGTTGGGAACAACTTTTGTAGACTTGTACACGAATAAAGGGACAAAGTTTATTAGTAGATGGGAATCCGTGTGTTCAGATTTCATCAAACACGTTGAAACAATATCTTCATAAGTAAAAAGAATTTCTGCCAAAAATATGAGTACCTAGAAATATACACAAAAGATTTTTGGCACAGATTTATGTGTCAGCTTATAGCCTTTAACTGGATAACTTTCAGGAAGATATTGTGTTACTTATGTGTAATATTAGATACTAGCACAAACAGACCGGTAAATAAGGTTACATATAAAAAAAGATCAGTCAAAATTCTTAACCTTAATTAAGCCTTTATTTGTCATATTTTATAAAAAATAAAAAATAAAAAAATGTTTTAAAATACCCTGCAAAACGAACAATCAAGCAGAACCGTCTGTATAAAATCAAGATGAACCGCCTGTATAAAATCTAGCACTGACGGGTATTTCGAAATGGTGATTTTTCAAATTTGCAGATTGAATTTTCGATAATTCGCTACCAGCTCCCATACTTTAAAATCGTCAGATCTTTTAATGGGAGCTATTTTCGAGTCCAAATAACATATCCCCAAAATATCTGATGGGTATATATTTTTTTCAATTTTCTCCCCTTACATTTTTGAAATCCTGTAGATGCTTTTCCCACCGCTGAAAGTAGAAACATTCTATGACTTTTATTCATTCTATTACCTAATCTTTCAAATGCAATAGGTCCCCATGACGCTCGAGTAAATCCCCATATAACATCATGGGCTCCACTACTATTATTTGTCATTTTTTATGCCAAAGTGGCATATACCTATACTCCACATTAACCGTTTATAATTATTCAAGTGTATGAGCATCTATTTAGTCAAAAGTCTAACGTTTCTGTACTACTGCAGTTCTAGAGGTGTGTGTGTTCGGGACTGTTTCATAAAAACTGCATACTTTGAACTTTAATCAATAAAAGTTACAATTTCGGTTACGTAATATTACTAGATAGATAGAGTTGGGCACGACAATTCTTCTTCTTCTTTACTTTCTTTAAAAAAGACAACTACCGCATTAGGAAAATATCCTGTGTCGCGGGGGACTTTACAAACATACATGAAACGGACACAAAGAACACCCAGACTCAGAACAACAATTTGTGGATCACACAAAGTGTCGTCCCATGTGGGTTTTGAACCCACAACACTCGGCGTAGTAGGAAGCGGCGTGGCGACAGCTTAAACCACTACGCCATCCGTGCAATTATATTCGAAGTTGGCTCCTTTTACAAAATCCTGACCCAATACAGAACATTGGAAGCATAGAGCTATAATGTTGAGACTTTGAGAGTGATTTAAAATAATCATTAAACATGTGTTAATCGTTTCAGACTTGAAAAATCTTTTAGACAATTGAGTGCAATCGTTTTAAATTACAAAATTTAAGATATTTGAACTGAAATTTATTTCTGCGTATTGTATCTTATCCGTGTGGTGAGAGATTAAGAATACAGAACGTCACCACCCCTATTCATACCGTAAGAGCCGACTTAGGAGCTAACATACGCAGGACAACAGGACTGCAAAGAGAAGGAAAACTTGACACAAACCCTATGCCAACCCGTTTGGCCAGAGTGGTATAGTAGGCAAAAACCTCCTTTCTAAGGAGAGGCCTATGTCTAGCAGTGGACTATTAAAGGCTGTTGATGTGAAGAAGATAATGTGATATTGTGTGTTTAATTGTAGACGTCAGGTCTAAAAGTGTTAATCAATTATTTTTCCTTTTCATCGAGCGAAGCGAATTGATTGAAGAACCAATCCACCCCTCCCTCTCTCTTTATTCTAGAGGGGCACGGGCAAAAGACAGCAATGCAGCTGTGTCTGATGCTCTCCAGTTTGCTCCATAGGAGGCGATAATCACTTAGTAAGAAACTAAAACTAATACGTACCAACAACATCAAGCCTCGCCGAGGCTGTGTAGTGCGGGTATGAGGCAGGAGCGTTTAGGATCACTTCACAGCTGTAGTTCCCGCTGAGGTTTGGCAGTACTCGTATCAGAACCACGTGTGTTTCATTAGATCTTAACCTCTGTAAAAAATAATAATAACCTCACACATGGCCGTTTGATCCTAAACTAGGCAGACGAGCAGAGTAATGACAATCAACGAAATTGCGGGAGACTGCTAGTAACTACTACCTATATGTATGCTAGATAAGTTACAGGAATTATAACTATATTGCACTTAAAATAGAAATCAAAATATGTTCAGAGAGATTTTGCTTCTCCATCTATCCCCATCTCTACTTCTTGGGGTGGTGACCGTCAACCTCTTGATACGATAAAATGTAATCTTGGATACTACTTTAGCAAAGCGACGCTTTAAGCTTACCTTATACTTAAAAATGGTATTAACGAGTGTTATACAGTGTCTTCAGTTTGTGTTTGGCTCAAATAGTCTTAGGAATTTGGGAACGCAATGTTTGACAAAATATTTTTGGATAAAAAATTGAGTAAATCATAACAACAATTCAGTATTAGGTACCACTTTTCTCATTTATACATGAGAATAAACAAGATAAAACGAGCTAAATAAATCTCTATTATATTTTTAATACTATGTGGAATTACACTAAAAGCGTCCAGTCCGTTAGCAATACCAATAGATCAATCACAAAAACTTTTTCCTTGTCTATGAAGTCGATACCTATATAACTGACATATTATTGGATAAATAATAAAAGAGATATGTCCCTTTAGATAAATCACATCACATTACCAGCCTTTAATAGTTCATGCTGGACATAGGCCTCTCCTTACAATAAGGAGTATTTTACCATACTAGCGAGACGAGTAAGTTTAGGGTTTATCTCAGGTTTTCCTTCTCTTTGCTGTGCTGTTGTCCTGAGTAGTTTGCTCCATCAGTCCACTATTACGACATCCACTTGATGAAAAGGCGGCGCTGACACTTCATATTCTTAATCGGTGACCACACGGATACACCACACACAATATAATAATACTTCGAAAAAACCATCGAGAAGTTTTCGTAATTTTGTGGTTCTTCGTATTTTATTTTATTATTACTTTGTATTACTTGTTGAAATTAATGTGTTCTTTTCCGTCCACAGAAAATACTGTAATAATATAAATTATACTTTAAAACCAGTTCAACTTGAACTATTATTGTGTTGATTTTTATTCTGTGGCAGATGTGGTGCCTAGTCTTTGTGGTTACGGAGTGTCACCCTTCATATACACCCACAAACTACGCCGGAAAACAGCACTGCAAAGAGAAGGAAAACATCACACAAACCCTATACCACTGGCCGGTTTGGTATAACAGGCCAAAACTTCCTTTCTAAGTATAGGCATATATCCAGCAGTGGACTATTAAAGGCTGTTGATGACAATGATGATGATGATGAAATGTCAGATCAAAATATATATTGAACGAATTTAGTACTATTTTTCTTTAAAATTGTGATTAATAATTATGGTTTATGACTGCTATAATTGATTTTACGCTATTCTTATACTCAGAAACAATTTCTTGGATACGGATACTATTTCTAAGCTGGGTACAGAACTTACACTTACATCAATTTTAATTCCATTTACAGGTAAAACTCTTGTCGTAGGATTCTCCAACGGCGAATACCTGTAGAATTCTTGAGTGCCCCTGTACCACTTTACTGAGTATATACCGTAGTCTTGCAGCTCGTATACGCAGGCCATTGTCACATTTCTATCGCGCTGGACGACCCGAGGTGTGATCCGGAGTTCTGCAGTACGGAGGCCACCGGCTTCTGAAAACAAAAAAAAAAACAAAAGTTATTAGATTACCATAATTTACAATTACAGCAAGGTTTGGAAATCTACTTTTTGGCAAGATTTAAATTCTTAAGTTCATCATGGCGAATATGTTTTTACTTATTTATATAGCTTTTCATATTAAACGATAGATGAACATAAATAGAAAACATTTTTGCATGTTATTACCTAAAAATATTGTTTTAAATTTTCAATTACGTAAAATTTTAATTGGGTCTCAATTTGTGCTCATGGTATATGGGGTCTAAATAAAACACAAAGCTAAGCAATGTAATAAAAAAAAGGTAAACAAAGTTTATCTTGGAGGCCAACTAAGAACTAGATCAAATAAGTTGGGCGCCAAACGAGACTACCCATTTATCAGCAAAACGATTTTAGTACGACTAATAAATAACGTCACGGCCAAAAAGCCGACAAACAAAACCACTTAGATCCATCTTATCATTAGTAGAAATTTCTTATTTTCTTTCTAGTTTATTATTGTTTAGTGAATTCTTAATTTGTAATTAAGATATATGAATCTAATTGTGTTAATATCTCAAGGAGCATAATATTCTGACGTTGTTTCAATCATAATATTAAATGGATCATTGTAGCAGATGTTCCGATTATTCCACCGTTATTGTCTGATAAAGTGCTCTGGAATTAATAAATTTGACACATCTGTATACAATGCCATAGTAAATGTGTTTAGCCTTTAATGTAATGAAGTAGTTCTGTAATAGTACTGCTGTACTATGTAGAAAAATTAAAAGCCTGCTTGAAAACGTTAATTTCAATTCTTTAAAGGTTTATTGTAGCCTATCCATAGTTAGTGTATTATTATGTGTGGTATTAAGAGTATCTCTCTATGAGTCTATATCTATCTAAATATATACCTATATAAATATCTCTCCATTCCTATCTTACGTTCGACTGGCTCGTTAGTTCCATTTCATAACTTTGAGCATCGCCTCGCCTGAGATCGTGAAGTTATTGGGTTCTTCTGTTAAAAATTCTCTGCAGCTGCACAGACTCTGAATCGGTATCCGGTAGATAGCAATAAGATTGTCTCCTAATATGTGTTCCTAAGAATTCTTTGGTAAAACGTGTCGTTTCTGTACGGTACTTCTTCAGAGATATGAATAGATAAAACATGTTTCTTTGTTGTTTTAAACTTTGTAACGAAATGTTTAATTTAAGTAAATATGACTGTTGTAATTTCTTTTAACTGTTATTATGTATCAGTATATATAATGTAATAAAACTTTTTTGTTCAATCTATTTCGTTACCGTGAAAGATTTAGCAGGACATATAATGAACATCCCCTCGGATACCACCTATCGGTGGCATGTCGGACTCGAACCGACTAAAACCGCACGCCGTCTCGGGTACTAATAGCCGGGGAACCAGATATACCCTAGAAAGGACCCTGGTGCCCCGACATACCTCGGGTCATCTACAGACGAGTAGACGACCCCTCCTGGTTTCTCTCCCCTGTATTTCTAAATACATACATATAATTAGAAATTATGTCAAATGCAAGAACAAAATTGAATAATAGTACCCGTTAACAATTGAAAAATTTGCAAATAAATTATTTTGGACTGTTCGACAAAGACAAAGATGTGTTTGTCTAAAACCATTGGCATTTTATTGGATTTGCTTTGAAACCATCTGTGTCAGTGCTTTGTCTGGTTTAAATCCCAGTCGATATCCTTCAAAATAGAAATTGTTTGCGTTTGCTTCAGTAACGCAATATTGAACTATGCATGGTAAATCCAAGGTTCCATTTCTTTAGAAATATGAACATACACGTTTAATGCAAAATATTGTGAAGATATTCCATATAAGTCGCTAATAGTCTACACATTATTGGAATCGACTGAAATAATTTTTTCTGTATTTGCCCAGGTGCAAAGGGTCAGTTTACGTTTTATTCGTTGTTATTTTATGAATAGGAGTTTTGAGCATTTCAGCATTCTTAATTTAACAACTGCACGGATGGCGTAGTGGTTTAAGCGGTCGCCACGACGCTCACTACTATACTACAACGCTTTGTGTGATCCACAAATTGTTGTTCTGAGTCTGGGTGTTCTTTGTGTCCGTTTCATGTATGTTTGTAAAGTCCCCCGAGACACATTTCTAATGCGGGAGTTGTATTACAAAAAAGAAGGAAGCTATATATATTGGTGTTTTTACCTTCATCACTTTACTAGTAAATCGATAAACACAATTATTCCTTAAGGAGCTCATTCATTGGGACTTTTTGCAGCGATCTAATGAACTAATAAAAATGTGTTAAAGTCAATAATATGTTCAGTAAACAGCAATGAAAAAGTAAACCACCCCTTAACTGTTGTTTATTTAATTATTCGTAGATTTAAAAATTGATTTTCAAATATGATTTTTTATATAATCACAACGATTTAATTACTTGTGCACACATAATTTTATTCATTCTGAAATCTTCCTCAAGTTAAAAACTTAACATGATAATTTAGTTTTAAACTAATATGTTTAAACCTAAACAAATTAAAATACCAAATTTAGTTTCAAATCACGCTTCGATCCTTATGTCTCACATGTAGACAATAATTAACGCGCTAAGGCTAATTAATCGCTATTTACTTTTTTTAGAGATGGGGAGAGCTTTTGGGCCTATAAATAGCCGCCCATTATCTTCTTAATTCTATAAATATACTCAGAGTTTAATCTTATCCATACTGTTCATTATTTGTAGTAAAAATATTCGCTCCTTAAGAGCAATATACCAGACGAATATACTCGTATATTCATAATAGATAGTATTTTTTATGAAGTACGATAGTATTTTCTATCAAATAGTTATCGAAAATAGATCAAATCACAAAGTGATTTGCTCGATTGATTTGATTCGATTCGACGGGTGCGATTCTATTGATTTGATTACCCAGTACAAGTAAACTTACTTGTACAGGGTAATCGTTTCCAAAATTGGTATTTACTGTCATAATTTTAATCCTGATAAATCAGTGAATAAGAGTTCAAAAGTTCTATCTCACATTATAATGATGTTTTGGGTAAGTTCAACACCTAGATTTTGTCTAGAGGAATTCTTTTTGTCCCTTATAATATAGTTCTAAAAATTCTGTTAAACTAGTGTCCCTATCTGTTCAAAGGTTTTCAGCTAGAAATCTAATGCATCGCAATGAGTTTTTTCTTCTTTTTTTTTTCCAGATATCATAACGGGAACATACCCTCGGGAATTGCCAGGACAATGAATATAGAACGGGCTCGTTTTTTCGTCTGTAACAGAGAAAGTCTACCGTTTATTTAATTTTCCACTGTGATATTTATCTGGTTTGTTTTTTTTTTCCGTTCATAGAGAGGGTTGAATCGGCTTCAGATATGTATGTTGGTTTTTTACTTTTCACTTTATTCTTTATTTTTAAAAAGGCTGGTTGGATAGAAAATTTTATGGACGGCCAAATACATTTTTTTTTAAAGTTTAAAAAAAAAAGATTGTTTTTAGAAGAAACCTTTTATTATATAAAGTATTTTTTCAAAAAAACCACTCACAATTCTGGAGGTTTCGTGTTCATCATAAAAAAATTACTAACTTCGACGAAAAATAAAATGTTATTAACGGTGAGGAGCGTGGGTTACCATCTATTTTTTTTACATATTCACCAAAACTAAGTTAAAAAAAACCATTAAAATAAAGCTCATACTTGGGGTAAAAAACTTATAGTGTATTTGATAAAAGGATGTTGAGTTCATGTGAAAGAACAGTGCTATGAAACCACACCATATATAAAATCAAATAAATTCATTAAACTTAATAAATATAAGCACGATACTATAACGATTCTTCCAAAATACCGACAAAATTCCAACCAAATACTAACAAGGCTCCTTTGACACACCCATTCAAATTTATGTTTTCTAAATCTAAAAATTACAACCAAAAGCGTTGGAGTCACAACAACATTTTTTACCTACAAATAAATATTCTCATAAATCAAGCACTAAATGCTTCAAACTCGCTTAATATTGAGCAATAACCGTAAGTCTGAACGAATATAGACTGTTTTAGCTCCTATTGGCGTCGGAACGCACCTGCTACTGTCCAAGTTGTAATATTTCTCGCCGTCTCTGCTCCTTGGTACGTGGTAAGGGCGTTGCAAGAACGATTTACAACTAAATTTATTGGTTCATGATTAGTATTTTTAGTGTGTTTAGCTCTCGTTGCTTTATTTGATTTATTTTTAATAGTGTGTGCTTATTGGAAAGAAATACGTAGGTGTTAACGGTGGCTATTAGTTGTACTAACTCTGTAATTTAGTAGAGTATTATTAGACTGATAATAATTTAGAGGCAAGTAGGAAGGGTTATTTAAAAATTGGTACAAATAAGTGTCGGACCACGAGCAGTTCAGGTTTCTGTAATTTATAACCACCTCTTTCAAATAAGCAACAACTTCTGCTAAGGGTTTTGTATTTTATATGAAATTCATAGTCATTTTATGAATTCGGCGACTAGAGATAACTAAGTTAAGTTAACCGTGATTGTTTTTCTTTTAATTCATCAAATATCATAAGGAGGAACATATAGTTATATGTATACAACGGCCAGACACAAAAAACGTTTCTTGTTTTTAACCCGTTAATTACCAATTCAGTTTTATTTATTTATAACGTAGGGACACACAAATGAAATTGCAGATTGCAATAAAACGCTCCCGCTTATGAGTAAGTACTGTTTAGCTGAAAATATCGGTCGGTTTCTTCTTATTGGGACTATAATTTAAATCAGTGTACGTTTTATTCTTAGCGCGTAATACACCCAGGGTTAAGCGAATTATGTATATATTTGGAAGGAATAGATGTTCTATGGTTTTTTTATTACGAGTGTAAGTTTGAAGCTATACTTGATTGCTATTAAAACCAATATACATATATATCGTTCGAGTTCGATACCCGGGTCGTGTCGGACCAAATGTTTGTATGCTCTACTAATATTTGTTTCTGAGTTTGGATGTTTTCTATGTATTATTTAAGAAAAAAAACTAAATAAGTATTCTATCAGCCAATCTAGCTTTCATAATACAAGCTCTGGTTAGTATAAAACTAAATGGCGTTGAGTGTCTGATATCTGAAAATATTATTATTAGTATTATTCTATGTATTGTTGGGGAATTTCATCGCTTTCATACAGCAAAAAAGAAGAAAGTTATTTGAAGAAACGACTGCACTAATGGCGTAGTGCTATTACGCCGAGTGTTGTGGGTTCACATGGGACAACACTTTGTGTGCTCCACAAATTGTTATTCTGAGTCTGGGTGTACTTTGTGTCAGGACATAAAGTAAACCAGGACATCAGGACATCAGGACACCCATCTGCTCTTTTGCCCCCTATACCATTAAAAAAGCTACTTTTTTTTTGTTCTAAAATCGTTTGATGGTTAGTGAGTCATCAGTAACACAATTTACCTCAAAAACGTTTATCAGTTTCAATCTAGATTACACGGATGGCGCAGTGGTTTAAGCGGTCACCTTGCCGCGTTCTACTACGCTGAGTTTTGTCTCATGTGGGGCATGGGACAACACTGTGTATGATCTACAAATTATTGTTCTAAGTCTGGGTGCTCTTTGTGTCCGTTTCATGTATGTCTGTAAAGTTGCCCGCGACACAGGATCAATTCCAAGTGCGAGAGTTGTCTTAAAAAAAATATCATTTTTATTGTTTTTCATCATACACAAATATATGACCACGATTTTCTATAACACCTTGTACATTTAATTAGGATTCAACCAACCGTTACCTTCAAATAACACCGCATTTGTACCTACATTAATTTATTCAAAACCTTTGAACATAAATTACACGACACACTCCCGCTATTATTCAAAGTCAATGTCAAATCTTCGCCGAAGTCTACAACTTGAATCAACACGCGTGGAATAACGCAGCTCGGTGAATACGAGCAAAAATTATTTACACTACGACGTATTTCTTGAAGTAGCTGTGAAATATACGGGCAGAAAACCGGCTAAGCAAAATTTACGGTGTTGTCTATGTCGACATACTTATTGAATTTATAAACAAATTGATGTGACACTTATTATAAGCAGCTGCAGCAGCTTATTATATTTTAGCTTTTAAGTAATTTATTAAGTAATTTTAAAAATGTTATGATTTTTAAATTATATTTTAAATCGCAACCGCATTATGTACGTGAATAAGCGAATCATTTTTCATTTTCTTTAGATTCAATATAATGGTTTCGAACGCTAAGATATAAAATTTTGTAAAACTGTTCTTTCAAATGCAACATTTATACGTTTTTTATTTATATTTGTATCGTGGAAGTTTAACTTAAAACCCACATTTAATTTTGATCCTTTTCCGAAAAGATTTGAACATTTATGCAACTTTGAGCATGTTTACTTGGTCATATTCTATTTAAAGAATATATAAAGCTTTGTCTTTTAGTCAATAGTCAACATTTACTTCTATCTTTTTTTTTAATTATTCTGAATGCTCATATCCAGTTCTTCTTTAATGATTTATTGCGGTCGTAGTTATTCATGTGACATATTGCACTGTAAATTCATTTATATATATTTATTGTTTAAATCATTATTTTAGTAATACACGGCCTACCAGCGTGCAATATTAACTCAAAAATTACTCGTAAGTAACAAAATAAATCTCAAAAGCCATTTATTTTGTTTCCCTTTAAACTAAATTTAAACTAGTTTCATAAAGAAAACATCAAAGTGCCTAATTGTGCTGTTCTATAAATACAATTTAAAAGTGACGGGGACAAAACATGGGACTTTTTCCTACAGTTATTTTCATAAATAACTCGGTAGTAATTAAGTTTACGAAATGGTTCATTTAAATCTCATCGTGCTTTGAGGGAAGTTAGCAATAAAATTAATTCAATTGTTTCATAAAATTAACTATCTTGGCATTTCTTAATTATGGAAATAACTTCCGTGTCATTTGAGGTTTTATAATATTTTTGGAACAGAATTAGGTTTTTTATTTTTAATAATATAATTATCTAGGTCAATATTAGGAGAGCTATGCTGAGGCACATATTGACAATTTCGATTGAAGATACACCGCTCCCTCACAGAAAAGTGATTTTATGCAATTTTAACGATGTTTTTATTGGAGATCCAATCTCCTCCCCTCCCCAATCCCTTCCACTAATCACCTCACTCAAACTCAATGCTGTAACTCCTTTACGCTAGGATCACGAAGTCCAGTCAACGTAGACAAAGTGTTGCAATAATTTAAATGATCAATAAAAATGCCAACAAATCTATTAATGATTATGCGAGGCTTGCTAAAGTAGTTGCCCTTATGTTTTGAACAAATAGATTAAAATTCACAATTGCTGAAGTGTTCGACATTTTCTTTGAAAACAACTTTACTGAGACGATGTTTGATATATTTTTGTGTACTTATGTGAACTTTATGTGTAAGTATTGTTCTTTGAATGAAGAAATATGTATAATAAAAGAATGAGCTGGTTTTTTTTATCCTTCGTTAGGTAGTGACATAATAGTAATAATAATCTTCCTATCTTTGGAGTCCTAATCACCAATCACATAATAAGGAAAACACAAATCAATTAGTTTTAAAACGAGAGTATGTCACAGAATACAAATGTCATGGAATTAGTACAAAACAAAACACAGGCACTCCGGGAGCACCGACAGAAGTGAAAACTAGTTTTTTTTTTACACAGATTTTTTTTCGTTATTTTGGATTTGAAAAGTACCGACATGAATATATATTCTGTTGTACGTATATACACAATATATGTTTAAATTATATATAGTTTTAGTATCAATGTATTTCAATCCAAATTCAACTCTCGTGTAACAATATATGTAGATACTTTTATATAGAGGTGTCGGTAACGGTAAAAGTGTCGCGAGTTCAACGAGACTAAAGAAGTTTTTACTTGAAAAAAAAACTATTTTCTGATAAT